GCAAAGCCGGCTGGCCGAGGGCAGAGCGCTCGCGGCCCTCCTCCTGCCCGCCCGTGCCCGGCTCGCCAGCCGGATCATCCTCTCTCTGCGGGTCTTCTCTGTCGCTCAGCCCGTTCACGCCGCTGTCTCCACTGGCCTGCTGGGTCTTGGGCACCGCGGGCGCAGGGGTGCTCACCGGTTCCTCAGGCTTCGCTTTCTTCTTCTTGCCTGTTTTCTTCTTCTTGGCTAACCTGCATGGCGAGAGACCCGTTGAGATGTCGCTTGTCTTTGCCTGCTTAGATGCCTGCAGGATAGACACGGGTCCCACCCTTTCCCAAAAACCTTGCTCTGCAGTTTTTCCTACTGCAGAGAAATCCTTCCATTAAGAACGTCGCTCCATGCGTGGCCACATAAAGCCCCCATCTCCATACCAGCCAACACAAGAAAAGCAGGTTATGGACAGTGTCCTACCTAACCAAAAAAGAAAAGAGGCATCAGCTGCTGGGCGCAGCATCTTGGGCTTCCTTGAGCTGCAAAGGGGATCACAAAAGGATGCGGAGCTAAGGCGACGTGGGAGAAATCCCTGTCTGAGAGCAAGATGCTGGGAAGGGAGAAGGTTTCATGAGGATGTGGGAATGCCGTGTCCCTGCCTGCCAGAAGAGGGAGATGGAGGCCGGAGCCCGCTCCAGCCGAACGGCACACCGGGATGCCGGCTGTGAAGGGTTCAGGCCTCCCATGGCACCCAAACCGCTGCCAGGTCACTCGTGTTTGGGAGGCAAGCGCGGTGCTCCCCTTCCTTCGCGTCTGCTGGAGAGCTGGGGGAGATGGAGCCCAGCTCTGCTGCTCCTCCCAGGAAAAACAGGGCACGAGAGCAAAGCCCAGCCTGCTGGGCTGGTTTTGGGGTGCCCTGGTCCCCAGGTGTGAGCAGACAGAGCCTTGAGCTCTCTGTCTGGGTTAAGAGCTCCGAGGGACCCCTGGGGATCTCCTCTGCAAGAGTCAAACACAGGCCAGCAGGTCTGTGGAGGCATCTCCCTCAGCAGGTTTGGCCACAGCTCACTGACAAACAAGAGGAAGGAAGGGAGAGAAGAGCCGAGATGCGGAGCTGCTGCAAACCTGCCACCAGCTGGAGAAAGCTTCCAACAGAAGCCCACGGCTTCCTCCGAGCTCTCCGAACCAGACTGTCGGTGTTTATGTCGAGCCAGCCTGTAGCTCTACAGACCCGAGGGACCAGCTCTGTGGACACCTACAGAGCATCAGTCGGTGTCTGGAGGTATAAAACCACCTTCTCACGATTGCGTAAGGCTACACCACAGATGCTGTCTCTTTTGGTAGAAGGGGTGGCACGCCATCAGCCTCTGGTGACAGATGACACGCAGGGGCATGTTTCCAGACCAGGCAGCTCTGTCCCCACCTGATGACCTCCAGCTCTGTGCAGCTCTCGGACTGGTCCGTTCCTTCAGGGGTGGCTTCTGCCTTCTCCTGAGAAGCGGTGTGCACCGGCGTGGTCTCGGTGGAGGACGGCGTGTCGGCTTTCTCCTCGTTGAAGGGATTGTAGCGCTGCGTCGGGCTCTTCACGGAGGCCTTGCTGCCGTTGGCCTCCGAGGAGGTGGAGCGCGGGCAGCTGAGCGTGTCTGTGAGGTCTCCGTCTGCAAAGACAAGGAGGGAAGAACGGGATAAACATCAGCTCGGGCACCTGGATGAAGTTAAATGAAGCAAAGCTGCGCGCTGGGGGCTCGGGGCACTGCATGGTCACCGTACGGCTCGCAGTGACCCCATCCCGGGCACCGGCAGAGCGCTGCCAGACCAGCTCAGCTTCAGAGATTGCTGCAGCTCTTTGCGAGGAGGGACAGAGGCCAGCGTGCAACCCAGCATCGCTCTGCATTTTGCACCCGCTGCAATTTAGACAATGCCTGGAAGTAACAGCTTGGTCACCCAGGAGCCGGCAGCTGGATTAAGAAATAGAGGTAGCATCCTTAGGAAGGAACTTGAGGGGTCTTGGGTGCTCCTTAGCAAGACGGCAGCGAGCTAACGAGGCTGCTGCCTCCCATCGCTGCTTTTCCCCTGCGACAGGGTCTTAGGAAGATGCTCGCTCGGCTAGAAGGGCAGGAACAGAGCCAGCCCGTAGAGCTGCGATCCTTACGGAGCCGGCTGCTTTTCTCCGCTTGCACGGAATGGCTGTGGCGGTGGGGACACAGCGTTCTCCGGGGCCCGAGGACAGCAGGCTGCACAGACAGGTCGCAGCACAACCGGCTCGGCCCGTGTTAGTCTTCAGAGGGACAAGGAGCAGTGGAGAAGGGCTACAGGAGTCATGCTCGGAGTTATCCATCCACAAAGTCACGGTTAAAGGAAGGTTCCCCATGCTCTTCTCTTCGCCAGCACCCTTCATTTCCAAAGCCAGCCAGAAACCTCTTGCCAGGCAGGGAGATCCCTTCTGCAGGAAACCACAGCCCCAGCAGACTGATTCGGGGGTGTAGGGTTTGAGTAGGAAAATGAAACCTCTTTTAAAAATCTAATGAAGGCAGTTTTGCGACGGCTGATTTCAAAACGCTGCTTTGTTCCTGCCGAAACGCCTGCCCTGCAGCGTGGGGGGTGTGAGCTCGACCGAGGGAAGTCAATCGGGTGATTTTTAGTCTCTATATTAAAAGGAAAATAAAACGTTTAAAAGCTATTTCAGCCCCGGGCTTCTAGCCTGTATCACCAAAATGAACGTCACTTCTTTTGCCCAAACCTTGCTACTTCTGTTGAGACAAAACAATCTTTGTCCAAAACACAGAATTCTACCCCAAAATGCATTTGCTGAAAACAAGCAGCTGCCCCAACTTTCTAAACCCCTTGCTCTGTGTACAAAAAACAAGGAATGCATTGGTAAGCTAACCTGGCGGGGGGCTGGGATGAAAAACTTTCCTACGGCCGAGGTTTGCTCAGCACAGAGTAACCCAGCCCGGAGCATCGGTGGATCACGCCAGCACCCCTCTGCAACGGGGACCTGCGCGGGGCAGTCGTGCACGCCTCCAAAAACCGGAGGGATTTGCCCCCAGCGTTCCCCCTGGCTTCTCCCAGCCTGCGCCCAACGCCGCCAGTTAGGCTGCTCGCTGGGTGTTGGGTTTGGAAATGTGGTTTGCCCTCTCCGGGTGTTCACTCAAGCTGCAGGGACATGCTAAACCACCTCCGTGAGCACCTCTGCGCGTGGGTAAGAAAGGAGATGAGAGGGAGCGTGTTAGAGCACAAGCGCCATCCACGTGGAATTCAGGCAGAATTTCCCCAAATATTCAGGCGGTACCACCCCAGGCGGGTCGGACCCAAGGCTCCATCCCGCTTTTCGCTGCAAAGGGCAGAGCCTGGGTGTATTTCCTCCGGGGGTAAAGCAGAGAGGTCTCCCGCTCCCATGACGTGCACAGTGACTGCACGTGGAGGAAGGAGAACAAGTTCCCCTAAAACAGACACATGTTCTGGACCATGAAGGCCAGACAGAGCTGACAAGTTGGTTTTAAAAGTGGTAAAATGAATAAATAAAACAGAAGCTCTGTGACCCACACTGAGCACAGCCATGTGCTGGACGTTGTGGCTTCAAGAAAGATGTTTTGATACAGAGGAGCAGAGTCCAAGGAAGACAAAACCTTCTAAACCCGCAAAAGGCCCCGAATTAAAGAAAGCAGAATTAATTCAGTTGTTTTCCAGGGGCGATTTTGCAGCTTTTCTTTTGCAACCTGCTAGAAAGGCTCCTTTATCCTCACGGGCCGTAACGTATCGAGCAGCCACAAAACCGCACTCGAAACTCCAGCCTCGCGTCTGCTACGCCGAACACTGGCACAGACGCATCTAGAAGGCACGGAGGCATCGTCAGAGGCAGGAAAACATCCCTCCGCGCCGGGATATACGGCCAGGTGAGCGTGCCTGCGTACGCCAGGAGCTGGGGAAAGCTTTGCACGGGGTCTCACGGATGAGACACACAACCTCCCACCCTGGGGCGGGGGGAGAGCTCTTCCGCTCCTTTCTGCCTTTACCGAATTCCATCAAGATGCGGCGGGTGCTTGTTAAAGAAAAGATCTGGGGAGCATGCAGCAAGCTTCAGGTGGCAGCAATGCAGAGAGAAAACCAAAATGTTGTAACAGATGAGTACGTCCCACCTTCCCAGTCTCTGCTGGGCATGGTCTGCATTGCTGGAAAGACATCTCCAAAATCATAATCTACAAAAATGAGGGATAAAACTCAGGATTAGAAATACAAGTAGTGGGGAGGGAGGGGGCACAGGGGAGAGTGTGAAGGGGATTTGGGGAGGGAGATGGGAAAGGAGAGAAACAAAACAATCTTCCACCAGCATCTGAAACGCATGAGCCCAGCCGCACTAGCGGCTGTTCCTGCTGGATGTCTGCGTTACGGGAGCTACAACGGGACCGGCGAAGGACGCAGGCCCCAAGCCGCTGAAACAGAAGCACAGCCGGCGTCACCCAGGGCTCGTCTACCTAATCAGGAGCCCCTCTGGGAAGCAACTTAATCACTCCGTGCCTCAGTTTCCCCACTTCAAACTTACCTCCCATAGATACTGTGATGTTTGACTCATTAACATTTGCAAAGCTGGGGGTCTGATTAAAAGGAAAAACTTGTCCTCTGATCCTAAAACCCCCAGCTCCACCTACACTGCCAGGGTAGTGAGATGCTCCTGTTGAAACGACGAGCAGTGAAATATTATCCAAGTTAAATTAAACTCCTCCACGTCAGAGGAGCAGCGACAAGACTCCTCCTGGGCTCCACCTTCACCGTCTCGGTCCCACAACAGGGGACGGCATTTCTACATTAGCACCAAACCCTTCTACACGTGGGGAAACTGAGGCACAGACCACAACTGCTGCCCAGACACCAAAACCCAAAATCCAGCTCCAAAATCTCCTGGATCTCTACTCCAAGCCCCTCTTTGCTTAAGAATTAAGCTTCCATCCGCCAGACGGGCTGGAGACCACAGCCAAACCCAGGTGACGCCCCTTGCCCAGTCAGTGGGGACAGGCAGGAGATGTGCTGGCATCAAGACATGTTCTGCTGAGGGACGAAGAGGAATGCAAGCCCAGGGAGTGCAGCAAGCACTGAAACAGCTCCTTGTGCCAAACCTCTGGGGACAGAGAAGCTTCCTCCTGTGACTTATTGCTAGGCTCCTCACGCCATCTCCAACTCACCTGGGATGCTGGGGCTTTGGCATAAGCAGATCCCCGAAAGCAAACCCTTTCACGCTTACAGCACGAGCACAGATGCTGTGGGTGAGCCCAAAACAGTGCTGTGCTTCAAGCAGTGCTTTGCTGGCACGACGCTAACGCCCATCCCGGGCTGCTCCTTCTCAGCACCTTTAACGTCTGCAGTTTCTGTGGAACCCATCCGTATGCGGACTGCGTCCTGAATTCACTGCATCCAATTAACGGCACGCATCACCCCATCTACTCCAGAATCCCCTGATCTCACTTTCTTCAAACTGCCATCAAAAAAGGAACAAGGCCAACGTATTTTGGATTAGGGACAGCAGCAGCAGAGCTGCTCCTTCATGCGAACGTGCCTCATGCAGCAGAAGAGCTCCCTGCTCCAGCCTGAAGCGGGCTCAGGGGCAGGCACAAGGCACATGTCTTCTCAGTTCATCAGCAACATCACTCAGCCCTCTCCGGGTGGGATAAGGGGGTGAGGACGACAACTTGTCGGTCTGTTCAAGTTAAGATGCATAAAGAGGAAAAAACAGCGCCTTTGAGACCACTGGCTGCCTTTCCCTCAGGCTGCACGTGTGGAGAAAAGACTCTGGAAACTATTCCCCACCACCTCCAGAGTATTTTGTTCTCTGGACTGCAAAACAAGTGGTTAAAAAGGTCCTCTGCAGCCCTGCGTATCTGCTCTGAACTGGAAGCCACGGTCAGATACAGACATGATTTTCACTCCATGGGGAGACGTCTCCAGTTTGTGTTAAAACGCACTCCCCAGGATGGAAACCTGGAGGAGATTAGCAGGGAAAGCCCTTCTCTCCCGGTCCGAGGCAAAGGGGCTGTCCACGGCCAAAATCCCAGCGCCTCCAAGGCAAGCCAGGAGGGACTCGCAGCCCAACTGCTGGGTCTCTCGCTTTGGTCTCTTCCAGCCCATCACTTGCTACCTTGTTTGGCGTCTCGTGCGGCGCAGCAGCTCAGCCGAGGGAGGTGTGGGAGCACACAGCCCCGACCCGTCTCCCAACAACCACTGACCTTCACTGGATGGAGCGATGGCACTGTCGTCCCATTCCAGGTTGGTGGAGGTGACCGAGTTGAAGGAGTTGAGGGACAGGCTGTCCGAGCCGTGCACGGAGCTGGGCAGGCGGTCCTCAAAGTCTAGCAGGTATTGAGGTTTGTAGTAATCTGGCATGTACGGGGCCAGATCCAGGTAAGGAGCGTCCTGCAGAGAAGAGAGCGTGAGGTGAGTCAGGCTCCAAGTCACCGCACACAGCTCTTAGTACAGTCGAAACGATGGGGCTGTCCTTGAAAATCCTCTGACTTCCATTTCTGCCACCTTTCAGAGCAAACCCGACAGCTCTGAAGCGACACCGAGGGTTAGCCAGCAGCTTTGTGTTTACCTGCAGGGACGCCAGCGTTTCGTACCGTGCTTGCAGAGCTCAACTCCTTTATCCCCATCAATCTGCCCCGCAGCTGGCTGCCCCACACCTGCCTCGTCCCTCTTCCGAACCGTGCGGAGGAATAACTGAGCAACAGGAATAAATCCCGTTGCTGGATCTCCAAAGATCCCAGCCTAGAGCCTTTCCTAACAGTGGCAGTGTCACGCTTTCAGCTGAAGGCCAACAAGAAGGTAGACCCTGGACCAAGCGGTGGGACCTGCAACACGCAGGACTTGCCTCGCTCTGCGTACCTGCTCTCCCAGAGCCAAGAGACAGGGATAAAACACTCACCAGATCCAAGTCAAAGCGGATGAACTCCAGCCCGGACACCAGCGTTAAGAACAAGGTCAGATGATCGTGGCTGCAAACCAGGGCGTTCCTGCAGCATGGATAAAACAGAAGAGCTTTAGAAATGGGGGAAAGAGAAGAAATGACTACAAGCGCCCTTCTGTTTCCTTGGTGGTGTGTCTCCGAGATGCCGTGTGAATGGCCCCAGAGCTGTGAACTTACTCTTTGCCTCCGGAGAGCAATGGCAGAGCTTAAGGGCAGACACGTGTGGCTCAGAGCAGTCGGGCACGCACTATGTGCTGTCCCCGAACCGAGCTGCAGCCAGATTTCCAGGCATCCACTGGAGCTGGGTCTCTGGACAAGAGCTCAGCAGCTTCTTGGAAAACATGGCAGAATATAAAGGGTACCTCTGGGACTGGGAGTAAAAGCAGTTAACTATGAGAGATGCACGCAAGCTCTCTTATGTTGGACAGTGTGCCCACATATGGGACCTTTAAATTAATCATGCAAAATCTCTGCAAAACCCAGAAGGAAAGACCAGACCCCGATCAACTGGCAAATTAGGGCTGGCTTCCGACATGAAGGGATGCCAAGCAGTGCCCAGACGAGAAGGGGCTGGGATACTCACTTGACGTAGTACTTGTGCAGCAGGCTTAGGTTCTCCTGGAACAGCCTCAAATAGCTCTCCAAGGAGTTTTCGTTAAGGGCTAGGTACAGCCATGCCCGGCCTGAAAACAAAGCAGCAGAGAGATTTATCTGTGGGGAAACGCCCGAGAAGCGAAGCAAGCCTAGAAATAATCACAGATCCGTTAAAACCCATCAGACTGTTCATTCGCATTCGTGTCGTTTGAGGGGAACAACTGACCATTGGGGAAATCTGTGGGGAAAAATGTCAGTGGGAGATGAAGGGGCAGATTCGTGATTCGGAGTGGGAATAAGAGTAAGAGACTGCATGGTAGCCGGCTGAGCAGCAGACACACAGCTGTGTCTCTCCAGCAAGATGGGAGCCCTGCTAGCATTTCCAGCAGGCATCAGGAGACAGGAGAGACAGAGGGAGAATCGCTCTAGATCAGTGCAGGGACAATTTGGGATATTACACAAATTCTGGTACAGCGAGAGGTGATGGTGGAGTCTGCGCTTAGCTCTGCTCTCACCGGTACGGCGCTTGGCAGATGAAGGAAGTTGGGAATATCAGGCAGAGAGGAGGTCTCTGAGCACCGTCCTGCATCAGAGGAGGCCTCGATGGTCCCAAACATCCGCTACAGACAACTTGCAGCAGGGGAGAAGCAGCATCGGGCAAATGACAGCAGCAGCAGCAAGACATTTCAGGGCGAGAGGTGATGCCTCCCACCTGCCAGAAACCCCTCCCGAGAGCACAGCCCCGCAGATCGCTTTGGTTTCGCGGCAGCAGAAGCAGGGCTATGTCTTTGACCCAACACCTGGTCCTGAGGCACGGTGCAATCGTTTCTTGAGCCGTCATGAGGTTACGGCAGGACTCCCACCTCCTTGGCCTGCACAAAGTGACCCGGCCTCAGCGGGGAGCTGCCCGCTGGCTCCCTCGTTCTGCCTGTGGCCCCAGCCCTCGAGCACACGGCCAGCACGACCTGCCAGCTGTCCCCAAACCAAGGTCTGCCCTCAGAGCCCGGGCAGCATCTGCGAATACTCACTGCGTCCCAGGTTGGTGGCCACGTGCTGAAGCACTTCTATCTGTTTGATGGCTTCCCGGCGGGTGAAGTGAACCACCAGCACCCAGTAACCCAAGTACAGATCTTGCAGGCTGGAAAAAGCAGCCCAGAGGAAGGTGAAGCAAGGGCTTTGTTATCTCCATCCCAATTACTGCCTAGATGGCTTCCCCGTGCTGGGGCCACACGCTAGGCAAAGCATGGTGAAAAGCACCCCAGCAGCCCAGGGGCAGGCTCCACACTTACCCGTAGAGCAGAGCATGGTCCAGATGTTCGCAGAGCCGCTGCAGGACCTTGTCGTGGTTTCTGATGGCCGGCGTCTCATCTTCACAGGCAGCAAAGTAGCTCTGCAGCTGCAAAAAGAAGAGACAGGATGGCTGAAACGCCCTCCTACAGCCCACCGAGGAGGCAGATGGGGATGCCAACACACTCACAGCCAGCATTAAAAAGCTTTTTTTAATCTCTCAGCTTGCTAAACCCCGATCCACGTTGCTTATGGGGTGTATCAACTGGTTTTAAGAGTACCCTAAAGGCAGTAACTCATAAGGAGAACTTCACCCACAAAGACTCGTCCACGTTTCAGAGACCTGCCAGCAGCGCGGCCGCACAACCCACTTCCCTGTTTGCTGAGCAGGGCTGGCCGGCACAGCCTCCTCCTTCGCAGCTCACACTGCAGCAGGGTTTTGGTGGTTCCTCTGCAGCGGCGCAGCCATCGCAAAGCGGCTCAGAACAGGAATTAGTCAGGGCTCTGGGCTCCGTTTCTGGCTCTGCCATGGACGAGTCCCCTCCTCAGTCTTGGGGTTTTGCCATGGGAAACTTGGACTGGGGAGAGCTGTTGCTTCCAGGCATGAAAGATGCCCCGAGTCCAGGAGTCTCATTCGTGCAGCGTATGTGCTCTGCGCTAAATCTGCGTGAAATCTCCGTGCAGTTTCAGCATCCGGGGAAGAGACAGAGGTTTCCTTGTTGCAGGCAGCTCGAGAGACCGCCACGATGCTGGGTATTGATGCCAGGCAGCTGAGAGCTGCCCCGGGCTTTCGAACACAGGCTGGTACGAATTGCCTTGGCCGCACAGCAGCGGGGCCTCGGAGCGGGCAGCAGATACAGACTGAGGCACATGCATATGTGACAAAGCCATTTCCATCAATCCCAAGTCATTTGCCTCTGCTGGGGGGAGGCTACGTCGCTACGATGCATCATGTCACATACTTGCTGCCTTCTCAAAAATCAGGGCAGCCTGACTCCTCCTCGGTTAACCCGCTCGCAGCTGCGAAGTTAGCTCTGAAGTCAGCGCTGGCCTCGTGCTCTGCTGACAACAGCCCTCGGAGGCTCGACACGGCGTAAATCGCTTTTCTGCTTCCGCAAAACCCGAGGGAAATCCTAGGAATCCCCTTCCACCCAAACCCTGTATCCCTTCCCAGCCGACCCACCGGCCTCCTCCTGCCCCTGGAGCTTACAGACCTATTTCGGTCCCCGTCTCGCACACGCTTGGCGTTCAGGCAGGGAGATCACTCCCCCAGGACGCCATCTCAGCTGTACATGCCACGTTTATCTGCTCTGGCTGGCGACGAGCGAGCACGGTTCGGCTGACCACGACAACGCATCACCCGTACGTGCATTATTTTGGTGACCCAATAGGCCTTTGCCAAGCCTCACCAGCTCGACAGCAGATTTAAAACAGAAAAACCTGACAGTATTGTGCTTGTCAAGTCTGACCTGTCCCCATAAACTCGTTTCTCCTCCTGAATTATTACCTGAGCCCAAGAAGCTCCTTTAGGAAATCATCCGATCTCGATGTAAATGTTATCAACGGCACAGAGAACACCTCACAGCCCCTGGGGAACTGTTCCCAACAACCCTCTTAAAAATATGAATATTATCTAGCTCAAACACCCTCCTGGCTCGAAGATCGCGACTCTCTCTGGAGCTCTTAGGTAAGACAGGAGAGCCAGGCGTGTTCCTGCACAGAGCAGGTCCCAGCCCTTCCAAAGGAAAGAACTGCTGAGCCCGAAGAACCGCGGCCAAATTCCCTCGTCCGATGGCGCAGCGCAGTGCAGCCTGCCCCGTCCCGCCTAGTCGAGCAGGTAAATCCCCCGGGGAAGGAAACCTGCAGTAAGGTTCTGTTTCCAGAGCCACCGGCGGGTGCTGCGGCGATGCGCAGGCTTGTCCACGACGCCCAGGTGAGACCCGAAGTGTTTCAGCTCAGCAGCTCTTACCCATTTTCGGGAGGAAGCTGGGCCAGAAGCTTTATGCTATTAACAGGCAGCCCAGACCCAAGTAGGGTGGAGGATGCCCTAAAAGCCCGCTACTGGAGAAGCATTTCAGGCTCCACGGGCAGCCAGTGTTTTAAGCTGCAGCAAGGACTTTAGAGAAAGAAACAAAGTCATAATTTAGAGCTGTATCCCTCAGGCAACAGACAGATGGAACCACGGAGGATGCTCTCCAAGAGCTGTCTGGAGCTCACTGAAATACCCCAATTTGGAGCAACTGAGGCAGGAAGCGAAGCCCCAGCCATCCAGGACGTGGCCAGGATCTGACGGCAGAAATTCCCGGCTTGTCCCAACCGGGCTGCTGCCTCTGCCCAGAGCTGGGGTACCCTCGGGGGAGCGTTGCTGTCCTGGGTGTCTCTGCAGGCTCTGCGCTGGCTTGAGGAAATGCAGCTGCGGGAGACAGCTAGGGGAAAGAAAAAATAACCAGGCCCTACGTTAGCTTCGCACTAAACCCAAGAGGCACCCACAGCTCGGGGAGGTCATCCTGTGGGGAACGTGGAGCCGCTCTGTGCCACCGACTGGAGGAATTCCCCGTGACAGACAGACTCCGAGCCTGGGCAGTGAAAGAGATGAGCAAATAGCAGCATTTCCTCTTTTTTTCTTGCCTTCCTTCCACCAAAATAACTCAGATCTTTGTTACAAGTCCTTCCTGCAGCCAGTTCACAGCTCCCAACCCTCCCTGCTGCTACAGACCGACCTGCTCCCATCACCAGAGGATGCAAACCATTAGCAACCAGTGGTTGTCTCATCCAAACATCTCCGAACACCGAGAAGAACCAGGGAATTTCTGAAAAACAGATTTCTCTTCATTAGAAAAGCCAGATCTTCCCCCACAAAGGGATCTAGGTTTTGAAAGGCTCGCTCTGTGTCGTGTTACGGCTCGGTGTTACTTTTAGCCGCTCTGCAAGGAGCACGCCCCCTCCCACCCCGCACAAACCAGTTACCCCTGCACTGCAGCCCCTTCCCAGGGAGGCTGCTGGAAAACGCAGCCCCACAGCGATGTCCAGTGCCAGCCTTCCCCAAAAGGCTCGCGTCTGTCCCTCTGCAACGTCAGGAGCCAGAGGACGAGCTGGTGTGACTGTGCTTTGCTCAGAGTCACGGGCTCAGGCCGGCCCTGCGCACGTGGGACCCTGTGAGCGGGAAACGCGCGCTCAGCAGTTTCAGGTTTGGGCACTCCGAGTCACGGCGTTTTAGGAGCTGCGGGTCGCAGGGAAGCGCACCAAGGGCTCGCTCCTACTCGCAGGCACGGAGAGGTGCCACCACGCTCCCCGGACGGTGCTGCGCCAAGGGACGGTGCCTTTCCAGCATCCCTCCAAAATAAACACAGCCAACGGCTAACAGCCCTGAGCAAAGGACACGCACGGCTTGCCGGAGCACAGGCAGCCCCAAACAGAGATGGGCCAGGCAAATCCCCGCCGAGCTACCACACGTCCAGGGAGGAAACAAGACGGAACAAGCTTCGGGATCTCCTGGGTGGAGTCGTCCCTACGGCGAGGGCGGGAAAAGGCTGAGACTTGCAGCAGCTGCTGGGGAGGCGTTTTTGGCTTGGGAAGAAGGGTGAGGACACGCACGGAGGAAAGGCACGGTGAAATAGCTTTCCCCGTTGGGGAACAAGATCCAGTTGCGTCATTTCCCAAAGGCCCACTGGCCTGCTCCAAGATCCACCTGGCTGAAAATCTGTAGGAATGAAGACCCTGAGCATCTCGGGGCAGAGGCGCAGACCACGGACGGTCCCAACATCCAACCCCGATCGTGCAGCGCAGGCAGCAGCGAGGTGGCACTGCCCCGAAAACACGGCGTCTATACGGAGTGTTTACTTCTCTCTTGTAAATCGCTACAAACCACAAATGAACCATTTGAAAGCAACCTCTCCCTAACCACGGCGTGGCAGACGGACCTGTTTGGGAGGTGGTGACCAAACTTGATGAAGCATCCACAAAGCAGCTCCCTGACACACCTGGGCAACGAGCTGGGAAATTCAGGAAGGGGGCAAGCAAGAAGGTGAAAAAGCATAAGCCGCAAGCGCCACTGGTCACCTCTGGGATTTC